GTGACAGAGCTGATGGAAACATCAAGCGATTCAAGTGAGTCTGATGATGACGAGATTTACCAAATCGTTATGGATAATTCTGATAGCGACGACGAGGATTTATTAGAGGAACTATTGAGGGATAGAGAGAGAAAGAAGAGGAATAGCATTAAAAACTATTTGGAGGAAGTGGTACCTACCTATACTGAGGCAGAGTTTAAGATGCACTTCCGTATATCGAAGGAACTGTTTCTCAATTTGTCAGCTAAATTTGAGGAAAGCGATATATATATAAAAGGCTTCGAGTCGATAAGCGTTTACCAGGGAAGACAAACATGGCAGTTTTCTTATGGTTTGCCGGTCATGAGGCATGCAGCTTTCGTGACTTATCCGACCGCTTCAATATATCACTGTCGACTGTTTCTCGTATGGTCAATAGAACGACAATGTTCATTAGCAGTTTGAGTCCAGAGGTTATACGATGGCCTACTGAGGAGAAGAAGCAAGATTCGGCACTTTTTTTTACCAGAAAATGCGGCTTTGCAAAAGCAATCGGTAAGTGGTAAAAACTATAATTGTGCCCTTAATTTTCAAAGTGGTCTAGGTCACTTCACATCTTATGCTTATAAATATATGCTTAAATATATAAACATATTCTAAAATATAGGATGCATTGATGGCACGCATATCGTCATTGATCCTCCAGCTGAGCGGAAAGATGACTACATTGACCGGAAAGGCAACATTACCCTTACTATGCAGGCCATTTGCGATGCAAATAAAAAGTTTATCAACATATTCGTTGGATTTCCCGGATCAAGTCATGATAGTTGGGTTTTTCAGAACTCGCCTATTTACCAAAAATTGTCATCGTATTGTGGAGGTAATAATTTGTTAAAGTAATTTAATTTTTTAGTGGCATATACATATATAACGTAATATACCCTATTGCTTTTAATCTTACAGATTACTACTTACTAGGAGACTCTGCTTACCCGTGCACTCAGTACGTAATCACGCCATATAAGGATAATGGTCACTTGACGGCCGCGCAGAAAAACTTCAATGTGAAGCTAAGCTCCGGTCGCGTTGCAATTGAGCACACATTAGGAATCCTGAAGCAGCGATTTAGGCAGTTGTACTATTGTAAGCTAAGGGGTAGTAGGAAGTTGTGCCACTTCATAAGGGCGTGTTGTGTCTTGCACAATATTGCGAACGAGAGCGATTTAGAATTTTCGCCAGAAGTTTTAATTGAAGAAAGAGCAGAAAATGAATGTGGTGAAACATCCAGAGGAAACTCTGTCCGCGATGCCATTTGTATGGATTTGCCACCGAGGCAACAATCAAGAAGTATTCCTTAATTTTAACATTTAGATTAAGATTAAAATAAGATGAATATTAAGATTTAGTTTAAGATTTAGTATAAGATTAAGATTAAGATTAAAATTTAGTTTAAGTTAAGATTTGGTTTAAGATTTAGTATAAGACTAAGATTAGGATTTAGCTTAAGATTAAGATTAAGTTTTATTATTAAGATTAAGTTTAATATTAGGATTAAGTATATTTAAGATTGATCATTAAAAAATGAATTTAATAAATTAATGGTCGAAATTTGTCATAAAGATACTGTTATTATTTCACACATAGGTGCACGTATGTATGTATTATGGATAAGGAACTTGCAATATTTGTCAGGTTTAACTAGGTCATAGATCGCCTTTGTAGAGGATAATAATAGGTCGTAGCCAAAAGCAAATTTCCAAAATTATAACTCGCTCTTTATTCAGTCTTTTATTCAAACTTTTATTCAGTATTTAGTTCAAAATACAGTTTAGTAAAAAGGAACCTTAATGTTAAATGAAAAAAAAAAATAAAGTTTGCTTGTAGCAAGCTATAGTAAGTAGGGATGTGCCGGATATAGATTTTGCCGGATAACCGGATTCCGGATATCCTGTAAAAAATTACAGCCGGATTCGGATATCCGATCGGATATCCGGTAGACTGCGGCCCTTAATAAATTTCACAATATTGTTTTTTTGCCGGCTCGAGTTCACCTCGACCTCCGCACCGTTTCTGATGCTACAGAATTTACCACTTCGAAAACACAATCACGCACACATCTGTGCGATGCTATCGCAGTGAAAAATGGCATCTTATAAACAAACAAAAAACAATCTTCATGAAATTCTTTGCTTTTGAACAATCAAGATGTTTTGTTTTCTTACGTTAATTTTTGTTTAAATTATACAGAACCTGTCGGCCGCTGTGGTGTAGTGGTAAGCAGTGCGCGCTTCCACTCCACAATGCCTGGGTTCAAGCCCTAGTCAAAGCAACATCAAAAAAATATAGAAAACGGTTTTTTTTCTTAACAGCGGTCGTCCCTCGGCAGGCGATGGCAAACCTCCGAGTGTATTTTTGCCATGAAAAACAGCTTCTCAAAAAATACAATCGCCGTTCGGAGTAGGCGAAAAACTGTAGGTCCCTCCGCTTTGTGTGACAACATCAAGGCGCACGCCACAAATCGGAGGAGAAGCTCGGCCAAACACTAACATTTGTGTAAGCGCCAATCTATTATTATTATTATTACAGAACCCGCCTATTAACCTTTTTCGTTTCCGAACGCGTAGGTCTGCAATTTCGGTACGACGAAATGAAGAGCTGTGGATGTTCCAATAAATAGTTGCGGCATTGTTGTAATTTTTCGGAACAGATTCGCACCGTCAGAATCGCATATGTGTGTTGATGCCTTATATGGACCTTACATGGTCACATTGTTTGATCAAACTGTCTTCTGTGTAATTAGATGGTTTAACTTACACGCTTCAAAAAACCCATCAAATTTCAGTTTTTCGTTTTGGATGAAGTTGAAGAGAAGCTTTGTATTCATTTGTTAATACTAATACTAAGTCGTATACTTTTTCCTTGTTTAATTATGTGTTTTTATTTAAATTATTGTGTAAAGAATTTTTTAATTTAAACTTTGACCCTTAATAACTTTTGTAATTGTTGTTCCCGCAAACAAATAAATACACCGTTATACTCACCGCAATTATCTATATCGATCCCCATATGTTCTTTTTTTAATTGAGAATCGGAGCTATTCTGCATTTATGACCAAATTTTGCTCAACTTCTATTATATTATATATTTGACAGAAATGCATTTCTGAGAAATTACGCACGCAAATTGATTTCGGTTAATCAAGTGTGAAAAACTTGCGTGCGTACCTAGAAAAACTCACGCCGGTAATATTAGGTTGAGCTGTTAGAAACTCAATACACGTCACACATATAATACATACAAAATTTCACTAAACCCATGCACGCAGTTTGACCAAACAACTCTCCCGTGTAAGGTCCCTATTAATCTTGTACTAAAACGATAACTTTTCC